TAAGTTAAAATTTAGCAGTTATTTATGGCAAAATATACAGTACTATAGGTCTATAGTTTACCCTTCATTCTATTATATATTTTCTGTTGTTAAGTCAGGATTTCTTTCTTTCACTCATTATCTAACTTTCAGGGAGAAAAGCAAGATAAACTCTTAACATTCATAATTTTGGGTGAAGGGCTAAACTTGTCATGTCAAGGAGCATACTCCAACAGGTATCTGGGGGCCAGACTGCATTAATTCATTACAAGTTACATCATTCATATCAAGAATCCCTCAATGTGAACTAGGGTCCTGGTGATTTCATGGATATGTCCATTTGTTTTACTTTGCAGCAATCTAGTACTGGTTTGCCATTGTTTTTTTCTGGAATCTTTTTCTAGTCTACACTGGCCAAAAACCCAGGAATTCCTTGAAAATATCCCATCCGAGTGTTAACCAGGTCTGATACTATTTACAATCTAAAGTTGACCAGGTGAAAGTAATTCCCCTTGTGTTTCAGATTAATAATTTTAATTCAGTAGCACTTTTAAAGGGAGCAAGACTGCTTGCTTAAGACCAGAAGTTATGTAGCCTTAGTAATTGAGGCTGAGCATGTGTATTTTAAATTCTGTTTGCAAACATTTTTTTAAACTATTTGTAGTCCTCAATATCTCCAGCATAAGTAGGGAAGCAATCAAAGTACAAACACTCGTGCAAATTTGGGGTTGCATCGCACTTGTCAGAAGCATTGAAGTGCTTCCGGGTTGAAAGGATTAGCCAGTGACATCACCCATTGCCTGGGAGATGCTCAGTTGGGGGCTCCTTTTACATCCATGGCAGGGGCTGGAGTGAAGGATTCCTAGTAGCACTCGGGTCTCGAATGCGGGTTTGCTAACCTCTGACCCAGCAACCTAACTATGTGAGACACAGTACTCCTGTAATTTGGGATTAGAAGCTACGGTTTTGCCCTGGTCAACAAGACAGGTGTTGCCGCTACTCACATTTGTGATGTCCTAGTTGACATTTTACATTTAAATCATTAAAGGCATAGCTGGAGATTGCTAAATTGTTTATGTAGGATGACCTAATGAAAACCAGAGATGATAAGAATTGATTTCAGGTAAGTAAAGCCTGGGATTCAGTAGTAATACATATACAAGATCCTACAATAATATGTGTCAATAACAGTGCAAAGATAGGAAATAAAAATTTTAGTACTGTAGAAGAAAGAACATTACCATTACTATGCCCCTATATCAGAGGAATTCCTAAGCACTTCCTTGCTGAATCTGAAATTGTTCTTTCCTTGAGACAGGTTTTTTTCCCCCCGATGATAAACTCATTGTATTTGCGGTACAATAATTCTTGGTTTAAATGGTTTATTATGATGTTCTGTAAATGGAGAGGGAGATTTTAGGAGTAGAAATAACCATATTTCTAGAACAGGAATGACCATATTCTTCTAAATCATACCCTACTCTTTTCCAGGGTGATTGGCAACTTTTTTTTAAAAAAAGTGAAATGATACTTGTTATTACCTTTCCAAAATAGAGTGGTTATTTACTATGTTAAATAATAGTTGAGATGAATAAAAATACAATCAGCCACATGAAATATGGTTTTGCCATTCATTTTAGTATTAAACTGAGAAATTATTTATAGCAAGGAACCAGTACAGTATAGAACATAAGTGAAAAGCTACATCTCCTGAACCACTATTCTCCTAATGCTTTATTACAACATGTGCATTGAGTGTGGAACCTCTTGTGCAGTTTCATATTTTGTCTGTGCTTGTTTTAGCTAGGAATCTAGTTTAAGCTGAGGTTACTGTATAAACTAAGCAACAATGTCAATGTGATTTCTAGGATCCAGGGATTTAATTGACATCTATAATACAGTAGTTGCTGTATGGTTTCTCAGCTGAGATAGAGCCTGTTACTCATTTACAGAGGACGACTTTGTAAAGCTATCTCAGTTGTTCCAATCTTTAAAAAAGGAAGACTTTTGCTTAATTGAAAAAACTCTTGTAGCTTAATGATGTGAATATCACCATGGAGATTTCTCCCCCCCCCACAAAAAAAAATTCTGCAGTTGTTTCTTTTACATGTAAAATGCAGATACATTCCATGGGTTTTGCCTAAATCCTTGTCTTGCGATTTGGACCATAAATTAAGAAGGGGAAGGACAGATTTATCTGCAACAAATGTATTTTATCCTTTTTTGTAGCAACACACTTGTGTAATGACAAATAAATGAAGTGGGGTGTGTGAATAAAAGACTTTGAGTCAAACACAATAGGGAGGAAATGTGTGATCTAGTTAATTTGAGAGAATGAGTCAGTCAGCTGCCTTAGTAATTTTAAGAGATAATATACAGCTGATCTCTTTCTGGACATATGGTGCAACTTTAGAAGAATTGTTATGATTACAAGTTCTTTAGGTTTTCTAAAAATTATTTTAGTTTCGATTTAAGCTATTTCACATGAATTCCTTTTGTGAAAAAAAAAATCTGGCTTTCTTTGGTGAAATACATCAAACATTGCAGAGAACGAATTCTGTATATGGAAAACATCCAGTGGATGCTATGGTCTTTTTGCAGGATGATTTCCAGAACAAAGTTATGGCTGTATTGAACACCATGTCAGCAAATAAATAGCAAAGATATATTAATAGGGCCAATGATTCCTGTCTGTAACCTTTCCATGTTCAAAAGTTTTAAAACATAATTGACAGTCTGCAAAGTATGCATGTATGTATTCCCGCTTTGAGATTAAAGTTAAGATGGCTAATAAACAATTTTAACAACTACAAAAAACTGAATAAATACATTCTGCAACAATACCAATAAATACATTCTGCAACAATACCACTAACACCATCAAATATCCACATCTGTCTGTCCCAGGTCCTTGGGAAGGATTTGATAGGTGGATAAAAATGCTAAATTCAGTCTGAACATCTGGCTGACTATGTGACAAAACAACTGGAAATAGATGGTGTCTTTCTTATTCCTCCCCATCTCTTGAGGGAGGGTGTTCAGTTCTAACATAGATGGATTCTTTTATCCCTCTTTCAACTCAATGGCCGTCTCTTTTTGTAAAAGTCCAGTTTACAATGCAGCCCTTGCAGCAGTTCCAAAAAGATTCTACAACAAATTGCACTGTTTCAGGTGACCCTGAGGGCACATATAATCCCTCAACAGCTCTCTCAGAATGCTAATGACCAGATGACCCCTTGTTGTTGTTGTTAGTTCTGAACTCGTGTCCGACCCATCGCAACCCCATGGACAATGTTCCTCCAGGCCTTGCTGTCCTCTACCATCTTCTGGAGTCCATTTAAGCTCACACCTACTGCTTCAGTGACTCCATCCAGCCACCTCATTCTCTGTCGTCCCCTTCTTCTATTGCCCTCAATCTTTTCCAGCATTAGGCTCCTCTCTAGTGAGTCCTTCCTTCTCACTAGGTGGCCAAAGTATTTGAGTTTCAACTTCAGGATCTGGCCTTCTAAAGAGCAGTCAGGGTTGATCTCCTCTAGGAGTGACCAGTTTGATCGCCTTGCAGTCCAGGGGACTCGCAGGAGTCTTCTCCATCATCATAGTTCAAAGATCTTTTGTGCTCAGCCTTTCTTATGGTCCAACTTTCACAGCCATTCATTGCAACTGGGAAAACCATGGCCTTGACTATACATACTTTTGTTGGAAGGGTGATGTCCTTCACCATCCTATTAGAACCTATCCTTCTATCCTCCTTCATTAGAACTGATGAAGCTTCTTAAATGAGAAATGAAATCATCTTCTTTCTTCTTCTTCTTCTTCTTCTTCTTCTTCTTCTTCTTCTTCTTCTTCTTCTTCTTCTTCTTCTTCTTCTTCTTCTTCTTCTTCTTCTTCTTCTTCTTCTTCTTCTTCTTCTTCTTCTCCTTCTCCTTCTCCTCCTCTTCCTCCTCCTCCTCCTCCTCCTCTTCGAAAAAAGCACCTTTGAGATTGCTTTCTCATATTTTCTTTGCAGTTCATCTAATATTCCAAATACTGTTTCTAAGTCAGGTACCCACTAACCTTTACTAGTACATTTGACGTTTATTTCACAACTAAAGAATTTTGCGATCTTCAATTTCATTCTGTTACTTTTAGCTCATTTTTCTAACCTTTTCTTCCCTCACAGCAACTCTACAGTTCAATTTCTTTGTCTCACTGTGATCTACTCAACATTTTCATTTCCTGTACATTCCTTGTATGTTCAATTTTTGTTTCTTTTTATTGTTTTCACTTTTTGTAGAGATACATTGACTTCTTTTGCTGTTCCTCCTCATTGGCATGAGCTGAGGCTAGTGAATGATGTTAAAAAATCATAACAATGCTGGCTGGGGAAATTCTGGGTGTTGAAGTCACATCTTAAAGTTGCCAAGGCTGACAAAAACCCATTTCACTTTCTCATCTTTATATACTTGTGAAGATGTGTGAAAGAGTCCCAAACTAGGAAGCCCTGCACTCTCTCTTACACAACTCCTACTCATATATCCAATTCACTGGATACAAGGATTTTCCTCCTTCAATCACTTGGACACTATAATACAACTGTGGGTAGAGCCCACAAGCCTTGTAGTTAAGTGTAGGTAATAACCACCCACCAGACTTTGATTTTTTTTTATTTAAAAAAACAATCTTACAGTTAGTGGATAATTGACTTGGCAGGTGCTTAGAAACTCTCATTTTGTTAATTTTACTTTAAAAATGTATTCTTTATGAAACAAAATGATAATTATTAGCACTTTGCTGCACTTTTGCAAAATATTTTTGCAAAATCAATCTGCTTTAAAGCATCTTTTTTATTACTTGGAATCCTGCCACTTTCTTCATGAAGAGATGAAACTTTCAGCTTCAGACTTTTCTAATGTAAACAAGGTGAAATGTGATAAGAGAAGATTTTGGAGGCCTTATGCAATCTTCAGTAGTAAAATATTTTAATGTAATATTTTGTGTAAGGCATGTCTTGGAATAATAATTACATGATTTTCGTATTGCAGGTGGTGTGCCTTCAGGATTTTTTTGGTGAAGATGACATATTTATTGCATGTGGCCCTGAAAAATTTCGTTACCAGGATGACTTCTTGCTAGATGAAAGTGGTAAGGAAATATTTTTGTTCATTATAATTTTATGATATGTTTTGAATTTCCCAGTTATATCCATATGAACGATGACCCATCTGTACTTGGTTGCTCGCTTGGAGATGTTTTATTACCCAAGTAGGTAATATCATCAGTGTGATGAATGGATTTGCTGTCTCTTTATATAGAGTAGCTTGTTCTGCCAGTTATGATGGGGGTGTGGTTTTTCTCCTTGGTGTTTCATTGATTAGAGCATTGTTTCCTGTATGATTGTTTATCTGCTGCTGATGCCTGTTTATCAGAGGATTGGCTGCTGGAGGGGATGTGTTCTAGTCTAGCAAGCTACTATGTATAAACAGGCAGCAGACCCTACACTTACTGGTGCTGGTTATATTACCTAGTTGCTTATTTTATGCATTATTATTAAATTTATTTTTGCTTAAATTTATATAGCCACCCATCCCCCTTTCATGATTCTGCAAGCAAACAGCTAAGCTCAGAGAGTGCCAAGACGTCTACCACTGAACCCTGAGCTAGATATATTCTTTTCTGTTGGAATGACAACAGTTTGGAACAAGAGAATTAAATTAAGCCCTATTAAGAGTACCACAGTCCTGCCATGTTACCTTCAAAGTCCTTACAAATAGGCATTAATTAAATGAAGCCAGAAAGATTGTGTCAAAGCACAGTCATAGGACTGATCCCAAGATTTTTGGTTCAAAATATCTTTCAAATATGTGGACTAACATCTACAGTATCTATTAAGATAGCTACTGGATTTACTTTGTTGGGGGAAGAGTTCAGTTCAGAGACTTGAAATTTCAGCAAATCAAAAAAGGTACCAGGTTCATTATGATAGCTAAAAAAAATGAAGACAAAACTATTTAATAATGCCAGTTAGGATGATTGCTCTATTGTGGCTTCTATATAAGCCATTAGGTGGATAGAATACGTCACAGAGATATCAGCTATTGTGGAAGTAGGATGTTGGGCAATATTGTTTGATCAAGTTTTGCTAATATTACATCCTTATATGTGCATTTATTTATATTATTAAAGGCAGCCTAGTTGAAGATCTATAACTGTCATATCTGTATAACATACACATAACCTTTACACCAAATTACTGTACAAAAACCAAAGAAACCCGTGCTGTTATTAAAAGAGATGAATAGTACCTGATTATTTTGAGATAGAAATATTGGAATATCTCATGTCATCTTAATTTGCTGTCTTGAGCCTAGTTTCCCTGGTGCCAACATTTCTTGGTACACTCTGACTGGCAGCTGACACAGTGCCAGGAAAATCTTATTTCTTTTTCAAAATGTAATACATCAGAAGTGTCATGTTTAACCACCAGGCTTTTCTAACCTTGCTTACTGAAGCAGAGAGGAAGGAGAAATAAGATCCATCTGTTGTGATTTATGGAACACTGGTTAAATAGTTTTTTGACTCTGCTCTGGAAGCTGGTTTGTTCACCACCCTGCATCAGGGGAAGAAACCTTCTTGGTACAAAACCACTATTAGGCATATGAAAAATCTCCTACATTATTGCTGATTTTAACAAGGGAGTCAGTTCTCAGATGTCAGAAACCTGCAATCTGTACCAAATACAACATGATTAATTAGTGCATTATCTTGCTATAACAAGGTTGGCAAATGAGCCATTACATGAGTCACTGTATGGGACTCTGATGTTTCCCCCCCCCCCCTTTCAGTATAAAGGCATGCCAAGGGCAGTGGCTTGTAGAGAATAAGATTGGGATCTACTTGGGTAGCTTTTAATTTTTTTAATGATTATATAGCAACAAAAGGATTTTCCCAGAGCACCCGTGAAGGTCATGCCTTAATGTAACTTAACCCTTTGATTCAAGAATGCATTCTGCTTAGAAAAGAGCAGTGAAGTCAGAACCTTGACTCGCTTTATTTTATTTTTGCCAAAGATGGGTACCCAGAACTATCTCAGATCTAAGATGGGACTGTAATGTAAGGAATTATTCTAGTGCAAGAAAACTTTTATTTATTTTTTTAACTAAGAGACTTACAGGCATTCAGCCAATTAGCTTGCATTATCATCACATGCTATTTTTGCTAATCCAGCATATCTCAAACTGGGAATATGATTTTCCTGGAGAATTACAAACAAATTTGAGGGGGTTGTACTCAGTTGTGCTCTGCCTGGATAGGGGCAGCCTTCATTAGCCTGTCTGCAATGGATTAATCCCATCACCAAAGCTTTTATTTAATAGCTTTGGCATCCACACCAAAACTCTTGCCACCACCCTAACCCTGTTTCAGTTCACCACCCAAAGCAATTCAGCTAGGATCAAGATGCTTTTCATCTTCCAAGATGGTGCTTCTCCTGGACATGTACTGGTATGCATGCCCACACAAGGCATCCTGAATGGGCTGTTCTCTCATCATAAGCATCATTGCAAAAAGGACACCCTAGTGGGGTGGGCCCATTTCAGCCCCTGATGTAGACCAGAGCAGGAATAAACTTCATAGAAATTTAAAACTACTTTTATTAAGATGGACTACAGTAACAGAACATTGCAAGTTTGATTATATTTTACCACTTCTTATGTGATTTAGGAGGTTGTTTGAGGCTTTTATGTATACCTTCTTGTTTAGCTTATCGTTGCTTTGGCTATTGCTGCTATGTTGATGTGACCAAAGCCCTTTTCTAGAGTGGTTTGATGGGGCTTAATAAACACAAATTGATAAGCAACAAGAGAAAGAATCTTTGCCCCTTGATGAAGCAACCTTTAACTGTATATCCAGTTTCATGTGATATGTCATTTCATCTATTTACTTCTTTTCTAATGCTGTAACCTTTATGTTTTGAGTTTACTTGACCAGTGAGATAAACCCTTTGTCAATCCTGTCATCAGAAGAAAGAGGCTGGGGCACTCCTTCCCTCTTATTACTTTAGTTCAGGTACTAGAATTTCACTTTCTTGATACATTGAAGAGATACAGTATATGCATTTTTGCAACAACACATCATTTACATTCAAATTTCTGGGAATTTGTTGCCAACACTTCAATTTCATGGCACAGTGAAGCTAGGTGAAATCAATTCATTTTGTAGTGTATTGTGACAATGTTTTTTTCATAGTCTCAGATGAAGACTTTTTCTGGTCCTTTCTAGAGAAGTTGGCAATTGGAGTCTACGCTTTTTGCATGGAAAGTATGTGCTCTAACAGAATTAGATTGTCCCATGACTCTATGCTTAATCATTCATATTTGCTGTTATCTTATTTCCTATGACTAAAATCTTCCCAATTTCTCTGGAGAAACCAGAGCCCAAACAAATTACACA